GGTGCTACCCAGTCTCCTGGAGTAGTTAGTGAAACATCAAATAAAAAGAAGCAGCTCTGAAGATTATAAATTGTGCACTGAGAATGCCACAGGCTGTGGAGGGCTGCACAGTCCATGCCTCTCTGATCACACATATCAGCCTCCTGCACCACCCGCCCCTGCCTGCCTCCACTGGGGGCTGGGGCCAAACCCTGGGAGCTTTCTGAGGGCTCACCTCACACCTCACTTTCCAGTCCAGCCCACCAGCGCCTGCAGCAAGCTACCCTATCAGTTGGAGCATCTGTCCCCTGGTGGTCAGTGCATGTCATAGCGACTGGTCAAGCAGTCAAACTCCGAGTCCAGGGGACAATTTGCATATTAGGCTTTTATTATATAGGATCAAGATTACTAATTCATGTTAATATATACTGAATGCCTACTTGTGCCAGACATTATCATAGGTGCCTGGGAATCATTAGTGAACAAAGTATGCCCTCAGAGTTTACATTATAGTGAAGGGTGGCAGGGAAGACAGTTAGTAAAATGTAAAAATAAACTGTACAGTATGTTAGAAGATAATATGTTCTATGGGGGAAAAGATCAAGGGGGAAAGCTGACATGGGGGTGTGCTGATCGGTTGCAGTAGGCATGAGGATAGGCTTCAATAGGAAGGTCAGATTTAAATAGACTAGGTGAGGGAGCTAGTCGATCGGATACAGGAGGAAAGACATTATAGGAAGAGGGAACAGCTTAGAGAAAATACCCTATGGTGCCTGGCATGTTCAAGGAACAGGAAAGCAAAAGCAGTTATTGCTGACTAAGCGAGGGACATGTCAGAGGTAAGGAGGGAACACACCAAGTAGGGCTTGTAGGCTATTTGTAAGGACTTTGGCTTTTACTTTGAGTGATATACGGAGCCCATTACAGGGTTTCTCACAGAAGAGAGGCATGTTTTAAAGAGGATTAGGTTGGCAGTTGTGTTGAAATAGACCATAGGGGACCCAGGGAAGAAGCAGGCAGGCTTGCAGCAGTCCAGGTGAGAAATGGTGGAGGCTGAGAGCAGATGTTAGTCATGGTGGCGATGGAATGTCAGATTATGAACAGAGGAGGATCTTTATCAACCACCTAGACTTTGCCCTTCCTCATCCATCCATCCAACAATCACTTATAGAAGCCTATTTTATGTGAGGCACGGTTCTAGCCTGTGAGAATACAGCTGTGAACTTGACCTACAAGCTTCTTCGTGGCGCTTACATTCTAGTCAGTAGAGATAAACAAATTTACAAGCATGATAATGGTCTACAGTGGGAACTGCTGTAAACAAATCAACAGTATATGATCTCAGAAAAAATAGAGGAGTGGAAGTTGGAAAAGACCTCAGAGGAAATGACATTTGAACTGAGACTAGTAGAAAAGGAGCCAGCTGTGCTAAAAGTCTGGAGAAAAGCATTTCAGGGAAAGGGAAATTGCATTGCATGGTTGATTTACAGAAAGACCAATGTTGGAGCATAGGGAGCTAGAGAAAGAAAGCAGCAATTGTTATCTCTTCCCGAGACTAGCACAGCAAATGTCCATGGCCCTAGACACAGGGTCTAGATTGATCTTTTCTGGTTTCATAATATGCATCACATCTGGTAACAAGAAATTTAAACGTAAACTAACGTGAACATTCTATACCAGCCAGTTGTTACTATTATCAAGAACTAGAAGCTGAGGAAATATAGTTAGTGATAAATCAAACAGCAGTTATTTTGAACTATATTTTAAATCAATTCTGTGCTAATTTGAAACCTAGCTTACCTTCTAGGTAAGGAAAGAAGACATAAAACTACTTAGCACAGCTTTTCTGCTTGGTTCCCCCACAGACTTTATTCTGTTTGAATACTGTTGTATCACTGGTTAAGTTTGGTAAATTTTCATCTTTATGAATGGCAATTTTTTATTCTCTCTCTTGTCTTCTGATTCCCAGGATGCTGACAATGTATCCACTATGATTGCCCATCTCCATTGAAATTATAGTTTAACAGCTGTTACTGACCTTTTTATTTTTTTAAAGCAACTCTTTAAAGTCAAGGATATATTTTGAAGGACTCATCTCATTAATGAGGAAAACCAATCAAAACCCAAGACATGTTCTAAAAGTTTTATCCTAGAAAA